TTTTTTTTTTTTTTTTAACCACTCCTTGTGTTTAGATATGACCACCTTTTTTTTTTTGTCCGTATCTGTTGTTGTTGTTTTTTAACCACTCCTTGTGTTTAGATACGAGTCATATGACCACTTTTTTTTTTTTTTTTTTTTGCCCGTATCCACTTCTGGCTTTTACCGAGATCCACTTCTGGGTTTTACCGAGATCCGCTTCCGGTGCTTAACTTTCACCCCAGGCAGCTTAACCGTTTGGTTAACCCTGCAACTCCTATGTGGGAGGGAGGTCGCGTGTTCGATTTTCTGGACAAAAGATCCTCGATGCAATGCAATTTCTTTTTACAGATCCGCTGCTGGTTTTTACACCACCGCTTCTGTTTTTTTTTTCATATCGTCACTTTCTGTGTTTTTTTTTTTGCATATCATGCATGATAATAATGATATGCCCAAAAAAAAAAGAAAAAGTGGCGATATGTAAAAAAAGAACAGAAGCGGTGATATGCAAAAAAAAAAAACAGAAGTGGCGATATGTAAAAAAAAACAGAAGCGGTGATGAGTAAAACCCAGAAGCGGATCTGATCTGCAAAAAAAAAAAAAAAAGTGGCGATATGTAAATGACAGAAGCGGTGATGGGCAAAAACCAAAAACCAGCAGCGCGGATCTGTTAAAAAATTCCATTGCATCGATGATCCTTTCTCAAGAAAATTGAACACTTGACCTCCCTCCCACATAGGAGTTGGGACTTGCACGCTCAACCAAACGATGAGCCCTTGAGATATCATATTTGTAACTGCCGAGCCCGTAGATATCAACCTTGAGATAAATTCAGAGTTAGACTAGGCTACCAGAGTGGCCCGGGGTGACTTGCCCGGCCGGGCCAAAAAAATAAAAATAAATAAAAATAACAGAACTATTTTTTATTTTTTATTTTTTCTAAATTTGGTGAAGAATTTCGATGTGACCCTGAGGCAAAAGTTGTTCAGTTTATTTTTCTGCATAACATTGTTTTTTTTTGGATTTTTTGGATTTTTTTTTTTTTTTTTTTTTTTTTTTGGGTCCTTCCCTGGTCCTTGTTCGGGTTGTCCTCCCTGGTCCCGGGCGGCCCGGCTGTGTTTTTTTTTTTTTTTTTTTTTTGAGTTACAGTTTTCACTCGCTCTCATCCAAACGCTCAACCAAACGATGACCTTGAGATAGTATCCTTGAGATAAATTCCTTGAGAAGTTACTGTTTTCACTCATCAGATCAGATTCCATTGGAATCGGAATTCGAACTCAGAGTTAAAAAAAATCCATTTCAAACAGTTCGTAGGTGTACTTCCTGAGCTGGGCCAGTTACTACCTTCTTCCCCCGAATACAACGTACTGTCATTATAGCTGTATTTAGACTGAAAGATACGCCAAATTCAGCTATAATGGCCGTACGTTGTATTCGGGGGAAGAAGGTAGTGTACCAACTGAGGTACCGACTGAGTTACCACGGTACATCTGTTATTTTCACTCATCAGATTCCACTTCTGGTTTTCACAGATCGGAAATTTACTACTTCTGGTTCTTACATATCCACTTCTGTTTTTCGTACGTTTGACATATCCACCCACTCCCGGTACTTAAAAAAACAAAAATTTACTTCTGCTCTTGATCTCCAACCTATCGCATTTCGATGTCATTTTTGTGCTTGAGCTGGGCCAGTTACTACGGTAATTCTGTTATTTTCACTCATCAGATTCC